ATGTTTTAAAACACTCTTTTTTGCTTATAGGACTCTTACAGATTTCGTTCTACCTTTGCTTAGTTAAAAAGGTTTTAATTACATCCAACATTTAGTTACAAACATACAGAAAATAATAGCTTATATATGTAAAATCTTCTCAGGAAATCCACTGGTTGAATTGAGTCTGTTCAAAAGGCACTTCCACGTGTTAAAATTGAGATTGGTGTATGGGTATACATCAGTTACGCTTTATAGATTATAATATTGATCTGTCTGATGTCTTTATCATTCACTCTTCTCCAAGTAAAGAATGGGAAAGTATTCACTGGTCTACAAAATTATTTTAAACATGCTTTGATAGTGAGAACAGGTTTAACAGTCACTAACGGCAACTGTTCTTGGGGGGGAAAAGTTCTGACTGACTTCCACAACTACAACATTTTTTGTAGGTAATTATAACTTTGCACCCACTCCTGTGTGTTAAGTATCCTCTCATTTTATTAAATCCCACATTTTTTCAAGTATCAAAATCCTGTGGATTTGGTATGTTTGTGTTGGTCCGAGTCCTGTATTTTGTTGATGTAAATATCTTGGCTTTAAGAAATGGTTTTCAGTCATTTGCAGGATTGCATCAGGTGTCAAAGTGCCACATTCATATGAACTCTCGGGAGGGTGCATCGAGGCTGCATTCAGGGGTGCCTGCAGAAGAGATGGATCGTTCTCCTGATGGCAGCTCTGCCTTGCTCTGCCAGCTGCTTTAGAGGTGCTCTTGTTTCTAACACAAGTTTTGGTGAGGAGCTGAGCTTTTCCTCTTTGCTGTGAACTTGGTCCCCAGGACGTGTGAAATTGGATGCACATCTGTACCCTCTCCAAGTGTCGGGTGTGGTGTGTGCACACGAGTGATCCAGTGCTTCTACAAAGGGCTTTATCTATCCTGCAAGTGTAGGAGGCTTGTGATGTGACAGAGAAGTCTGAAAGAAAGCAGGAGACTTGTTCAGCTGTGTACTGGCAACAGAGTTGTCAGCCCATCCAGGAATAATTGATTAGGGAATTGATGTCTCTCTCTTCCACATGTTCTCAGCTACTCCACCCTCACAGATTAACAGAAGCAAAAGATTCTGTGTCACTTCATGACTTGCAGGTCAATGAAGTGAATGCTGTCCTCTATATGCTGCGACAGTGAAAAGAATTTTGTAGAAATTGCTGAGTATTGCAGATTGCTCCCCTGGTGCTGGATGTGTGTACGTGTCTCTGGAGTTCATCAGTGGCGTTTAAAGAAGTGTGGCAGAAATAATGAAGCACCACGTTGCATGGAGAGGCTCTGTCTTGGTTTGAAAGACAGGTATGGTCTAAGGAAAGGCAGGAGCCCCTTTTCTGCGATGCAGAGTGCAACCCCCCTCCCTTTTAATTATTTTAGGTCCAATTCAGACACCTTCAGGCAGGAGATATGGGGATAAGAATAACAGTTCTTTACTGGTATCTAACAAGGCAGAAAACAACAACAGGTATAAAAATTGGCAACAGAACAGTCTAGCTCCGCTCCAGTCCCTTCTGGCCGCAGGCCGTCTCCCTGTGCTGTTACCGGTGCTGTGGGGGCAGGGCAGGTCCCGCGCAGTTGAAGAGGGCTGGAGTGATGGCGGCGGCCCAGGGGTGAGAGGGGATCGGGAAAGTTACTCCCCCCTCACGGTGTCGGTCGTGGTGCTCAGCAGAGTGTCCGGAGATAGCAGGGTGAGCTGGGAGAGCAGCAGAGCGATGTCCAAAGGCAGGGAGCGTGGATCTCAGTGCTGGGATGGCAGGGGAGATGCCAGAGCGGAGCCCAGGCTGTCTTCCCACTCACAAGCCAAGCGAGAGAGAGAGCCCCGCTCCAGACCCCCCATCCCACCTTTCCTTTTCCGGTTCCCCCCCCCACCTCGCCCTCCACCCACCCCCCCTACGAGAGAACATTATCTGTCGTTTCAAGGTGTAGCCACAATTACTTAGCATAACAATGGGAGGAATTCCACAGAAAGAAAAGGGGAACAATCCAACCCCCAACAGGCTCAAGAACTGCCCTTTTATAGTGCCAATACAACAAGATATGGGTTCATTGTTCTGCAAGTTTCCCTGGAATTGCGATTTTTAAAATTTTCCAAATAGCTCATGAGTGATGCTGCTGCCCTTGGTAGACTGTATATGCCATGGTAATCTTCAAATTCTTCAGGTATGAAGTGTCTGGCAATTCTGTTACTACTAACATAAGTGAAATAAAATAAAAAGATCTAAAATGTCCATTCAGAACGAGCTGCTTTTAAAAATCGATTTCATAGTAAGATGCTGCAGTTCAGCACAACCGTTTTTCCTTCCCCTACCTTTCTAGTATGATTTGACAGCAGGTTCTTTAATATGGATAGAGGAGTATTTTTCCTCTCATGTTTTAAAGAAAGCCTGTAACAAAAAGGAAGGTTTGAGATTGATATTTCCATTGAATTGTGTGAAGCAAATTAGAAAGTTTCCTCTCTATCCATGGGAAACAAGACATTGTTCCAAACTTTAAGGGGTAATGTTGACATTTTTAAGTGATGTGTCTTCAAAAGAAAAGTCCCAATGTCTTTGTAAAACTTAAAATATTTTATTGGCATTTTCTCACCTAAATGTGTTGGAGTTCTTTTGCTTTTCTCATCAGAAAGCTGTGCCCTGTTTATCATGCACAGTGCAGATATTATTTCAGGGTTGAGACAGCTGAACAGCAAACTAGGGGAGAAAAATGTTTGGATGTATGTTAGGCATGATCTTTTCTACTTTTAACTGGAGAAATTTAGATTTTAAATAAATTTTGGGTCAAAGAGGAGACCCGGGCTTGCCTTTGTCTCTAATTTCTAGGAGCACAGGCTTAAGATACAAGAAGATGGGCAAGAATCAAAGATATAGAGTCATGTGCATTGTTGGTATTCTGGTTTTAAAAAATAATATTTGTGTGGTGCCTGCACTGCAGTAACAGGCCTATTGAAATGAGAAATAATTAACTTCTGAGCATTATAGTTCATGCAGGGATTTTTATTTTCCTTAAAATGCACTCAGAACAGTGTATCTGCCCATACAGGTGAATGCTAGTATGATTTCATATTCAAAAGGTCACTGTGTCAGTGTATGTGCAGAGTATTTTCAATCTGTGAATGAATAAGCAGTTGCTTATCCCATCATGGGACAGGAAAGGCATAGAGCTGGTTAATGGCTCATTGCTTTTGTTTAGGACAGAACCTAAAACTGACTGCTGCTTATGTTGATAATTATTTTTATATCTGCAATATAAAGAGTTTTGAAATGCTAACCCCATGTATCACCATGAATATGTTTGTTGTTGTTGTTAATAGAATAAATTCTATACATTTTGTAATGTGTGTTTGGTTGTGAAAAGCCATTTTACTAGAACAGAAATCCTTTATTGTTAAGTGTTAACATACTAAGACTAATCAGAAATCTGACATTTGAATGCTTAGTAGCTAATAAACCAAGGCCATACAGATTCTGCATAATAAAGCTTTCACTTTTTATGTTTATAACATGCCTTTTGAAAGAAACCAGGATTATAATTATATATAAAACATGCAGTTTAAGTTACCTCTTTGTAATGTTGAACAATGGTATCTCGTGTTAGAAAAACTCTAACTGAGAAGAGTAGTTTATCAGATGTCATCCAAATGGAAATAATATTTGCCATGGGATAGAACAAAGTGTTTTAAATCAAATTGCATTAATGAAAGCATGGCTGAAGAATAGCTTCACAAATATAAGTTTTTATTTTATTAAGCAGATATTCCGCTTAACTTTTCCAAGGATGTATCATTTTCATTCCAGACTGCTAGCAAGATAAACAGCTGCAGTTTGCATCTGTTTATAATTCTGTGTATACTAGCAGTACTTTAGCTTTTATAACGTTCAGCTATCTTTAATGTGCTCAGATTATAAAGATAATAGCTTTTCTTAGCAGAAATTAGGTATGTTTGCAAACAGATTAATCAGACCTAGCTAATTTGATCACAGGGGTTTGTTTTTTCTGCATCACTTCAGTGCATTGGACTTACTTTTCCACTCAGTGTTATATGTAAAACATTTAAGAATTTTGAAATTTAGTTAAAATTCTTAAATACGTGTACAGTTTCTGTATCTAAAGCTCAGCTTTCCTTTTCATATACAATATAGGAGCTACACATATTATTGTGTAATACAAAACACTTTTAGCTGTCAAAACAAGTTTCTGTCAACAGGAATCATGGTGACCATTGTGAATGTTATTCTAAGAACATTCACATTCCTAAACCACAGAAATACACTTCTTGTGCTACATTCTGGGGGAAATGCATGTCTAGCTGTTGAGTAATTGAATTTATCAGTTTACTCTTTAATATTGACAACACACAGTTTGTGCTGTTGTTTTCCATTAGTTAAACAAATCCGTTTTAATACTGTTATTGCTGTTTAAAATTAATACTCAAATGTTAGGTAGAAGGCTTCAGGTTGGAGTCACAGCAAATTCCAAAAAGTTGAGTATGTTCTCCAAATAAGAGTGAATTGCAGCATTAAAATGGTGGTACAGTAGAAAACAACGTATTAGCAGTTTGGTAATGGTCAGAGCTGTATTTAAATGCTGTATTTTATTTGCTGTCCATTGGCTTTCTACTTCTTTCATTATGTTGTGAGTATGGTAACTCAGTAAAACCAGCGCGCTCTTGTTTTGTCAGGTTTCTCTGTCCTGTTCAGCACCTGTTTCCTTCTGTGCTGAGGTGTTGAGGAAATACGAAATAGCAGGGACACTTCCTGTACTGTCCGTGCTGTATTTAAGTCATTAAGGATCAGTTTCCATCTCATTGAATAACTTGTAGCAGCTCTCTGGACAAGCAAAAGTCAGTGGTGGTTGAATGGTATTTTGTCACCATTGCTGTGTTATTTGCATGTGAGTGCAAATGGAGTGTGGTTGGTATGGTGTGATGTGAGGCTTTGAAGATAAACGTGGGAGCTGATTTCTTTCTGTTCTTTCCTAGGTGATGGGTGTGGACATACCGTGCTGGGCCCTGAGAGCGGGACCCTGGCCTCCATAAACTACCCCCGGACCTCTCCCAATAGCACCGTGTGCGAGTGGGAAATCCGTGTGAAGCCTGGGCAGCGAGTGCAGCTCAAGTTTGGTGATTTTGATATTGATGACTCAGATTCCTGTCATTCCAGTTACCTGAGAGTTCACAATGGAATTGGCCCCAACAGAACAGAGATAGGTAGGAGCTGTAATTATCACTATCGGAGAACTGTTGTCTTGTATAGAACTTGAGTGTACTGTTGGTATTTTTGTTGCTTTTTAACAACAGCTATATGCTAAATGCAACAAATCCTGTAATAATCTTTGATTCTTGAGATGCTCAGAGGAAGCTCCACTGCAATGTGTGTCTTTTTAGTCTGACATTTCCTAGTAGCTTGCAGAGTTCTTGTAAGCAGTGAAGGGGGAACTGTAAAACTAGAAGCGTCTTCATTTAAAAAGTAAAAAAGGAGTAAATATGTATCTATATGTTTCTCTTACCTGAAATGCCTTTCTTTTCATATGGATTCACTCTGATTTAAGCTGTTCATCTTGGTGGTGTTAAAAGGATGGCAAGCTTCAAAAGGTGTATAGTCCAAATATCTTCCATCCTCTAATAATGTTAGTTTTTGCTCTCTTCAGGAGAATTTCATGACTAGAAGTCAATGTTTTTTCTCAAATAGCAGTGTGATGTTATCACCAAATCAAGATATATGTAGGGTGTTTAGATTCGTATGGTTACTTTGCATAAAACTGCAAATGAATTGTCATTCTTCCATTTCTAAAATGAGCTGTTACTATTTAGATGAACTTTATTTTCTTTCCTAAAGCTTTAATTTGGTGAGAGAGAAAAAGATTTGCATCACTGAGACTGTTTTTGTGCAATCCAAGTGCTGATCCCGATAAATTGAGTCTTTTTCTAAAGAGGCTAGTGGAGTGTTAGGTTTATTAACCCTCTTTTCCAACTGTTACCTAGATAAGTGTGTGTGAAAATAAGTATGTGCTTGGAGGTGTTGAGCCAGACTTGGTCTAAAATAGGAAACACTGAATACCTTAAAGGGCAAGGAACGTCAAGTTCTGATAAGTCTATTACTCACTTTTACAAGGGACTTAATGGGCTCGAGTAAATTCCTGCTTCATTTGTTTCCCTTGCTTTTCAGCTGTGGCCTGGTGTAGCAGCACAGTATGTTGAAGAAATGTGTGTGTTCTGCTCTTCATCAATTAAATCACAGGACAAACAGTGATGTTAACAGTGGCAAATACAAATGAGGCAGGGTTTGGATTTTTTTCATGTTTGAAGCAACAGACACTGGAGAGATTAAACAGTGACTTGAATTTTCTTGGGAGAAATCTGGACTTGGATCCTAAGTTTTTCCATTCCAGACTACTGACATAGTCTAACATTAAAATACTTTTTTTACATAAAATCTGAATTGCAGTCATACCTTTTTAACCCAAAATTACTTAAAAGTTGGCTGGTTAGATTAAAAAATAAATTGTTAGTGGGCTCATTGATAAACAGAGAGGATTTCTAATGAAGCTTTTAAGAGCTAGTGCTTATTCAAAGTTGAGTATTTATCACAAAATAAGATTCAAATGCTCAGTGTTAGGTTTGTCTCTAGTATAAGTAAGATCTAGAGGTGTTTGTAAGATTTCAATACAGTCAAATTAGTGTGCATCTGCAGATTTAAGACATGAGAGTTCCCTCTCCTGCTGTACTGTTGCTGTACAAAAGCACTTGGGATCCTTCAATGCATAAGTACAGACAGAATAGCAATATTACTTCTGCACATGCAGCTGACAGAGGTATTACTGCAGTCATGCTTTGACCATTCCTAGTGCTTAAAAATCAGGGAAGAGACCAGGAAGAATTAGAAAAATGGTTTATAGTCTCAAAAGTGTGCCTTGCCATGAATCATAAGGTGCATCACTACGGTTTGTCAAAGGCCATATGTCCATGGGGCAAGCAGCACTGGAGAGTTTATCCAAGCTGGATTTAAATGGCTTGCACTGTGTATTTGCCTGAAGAAGGGGATAAATGGTGTTTTGCAAGGAGTCTCATGATGGTCAGTCATGTAACAAGATCCAGTGGCTGAAAACAAAACTTAAAGAAACACTTTTTCTGGCTTTTATTAGAAGATATCCTTGCTTTGTTTAAAAAAAAACCAAAAAACTGGGTAAGGAACATCTACAAAGCTCTGAATAATTATAGAAATTTGTATTTTAACTTTTAAAATTTTAAAAATTATTGTGTTAGTGTTTGGGAGTGCAGTTCACTTTTTAAAGGAAAATGACATACATATTATATTTATTTTGTATTTTTAAGAACTATTCCTGCAGGACTGTGTTACTCCACTTCCTCTACATTAGTATTGTAATTTGCCTTTATTTGACAGAGGAGTCTTGCCTCTTGTTCTGCTATTTCACAGTATGATAACATACTCATTATGAGGAAAACAAGTGGAATGATGAACTGAAACAGAGGCAGTGTCATTTACTGCTGGTGACTATCCACTTTGTTTATCCACTGCCGAATCTTAAATAGGGTTATATAGGATTTCTGCAATATTGAATGATCAAGGCAGCCTGTAGAACGAAAGATTTTTTTTTTCTTAACTAGTTAATTAACTGGTTAGTATCTTTACTAAAATTTCTAGTCAGTAGGACTAGAGAATTCCATATTAACTGTTTAACAGCCATTCATCCATTAATGTGACTTAGTATCAATTATAGAACTTCATAGGGCAAATACTGTCAATATTTGTGGACTCCAGCAGTTGAAATTTTGTTATTTTTGTTCATTTTGTATGGCAAGAGAAGTATCCAGCTATAGAACCTTTGTTACATTTTTTAGGTGACAAAATAGAAAGTGAACTAAGTTGTAATGTCTCTTAATGGTACTCACCCATGATGTGATATGATTATGTATGATTCTGCTGAAATGCAGTGAGCTGTGCCTGCTGCTGTCCAGAATTAAAGAAAGTATGTGACAAAAACCATAGAAGAATCTATGAAGAAGTGCTCCAACCACTTTGGGAAAAGGAGAGTTTTTTCTCATTTGCTTCTGTATATGCTTCTCATTGTCCTAATTTGATCCATTTCCTTGAGAGATTCCTTGTGCTCTTTGAAGCTCTGACTATGGCAGTTATGCATGGCTAGAGGTGAATGGGATAGGGTCACATTTATCTGCAGGTATTGGGGTATGAGAGACTTTGACAGTGGCAAAACAAATGTGGAACTCACACTCTGCCATTTGCTTTAAATGGTCACTAAGCACATTATTTAGTGTCATGTTCATGTATGTGTTTCTGAATATACACCAGAAATAATGTGAGCCTGTACTGCAGATGAAATAAGAGGCTGGAAATTGAATAAGGTGCTTATTACATGTGCTGTTTTGGGTCAATATTTGTTCTCCTCCCCTCCACAGGAAAATACTGTGGGTTTGGCTTTCAAATGGATGGTTTAATTACTTCAAAAAGTAATGAAGTCACAGTACAGTTCATGAGTGGAATTCACATTTCTGGGCGTGGATTTCTTGCAGCTTATTCAACCACTGACAAATCAGGTATTTATAATTATTTGGTAATTTTTCTCTGCTTGCGGAATTAGAGCTATCTAGTAAAAACACAGAACCAATTCAATTACTCTCACATTCTCACAAATCAACTTCTAAAAATTTAGTACACTTTTCATGATACTTCTCTGTAGGAAATTCGACTGCCTATCTAAAAGTTGCTGTAGTTTTAAAGAAAGGGTATCAAAGCTTACTTTGAATAGCGAAGTAAGAATGTTAGTTGTCTGTTATAAACGAAAGAACTGCTTTAGATTCAGGACAAAATGCATATTTTTTCAAGCAGTAGTCAAAGTGGCAAATAGCTAACCAGTTTTCTTATCAAACTGTATATATTTTATACACACTAACCTCATGGAAATTTTTATTTCAATAGCAGCATCCTGTGCTCCCTTAGCTCCTTAGTGACATAATCTGCTCACTAGTTTTTTGTCTGTCTTGGTTTTTTTCCCCTGATTTTGGTTCTTCTAAGCCTCTGAAAGAGGTTGCTGTATTTGTTTTGCATCTCTTCCCACTCGTTGTAAAGGTGAGTGATATAAAAGGTCCACAAAGAAATGAAGGAGCAGCAGCAACTGCCTCAGAAGGCAAAAAACCCTGTCTGGAAGTTATTCTAAAAAGACCAGATAAAGAGTTTCAGTTTTTAGTTTTGTTGGGTTTTTGATGCTTTCCTCTCTGTTTTGGACTCTGTGTTGATACATAGCAGACACAAACACGAAAATTTGTGGTATGAGTTATGGATGCCAATAACACAGCATTCTAACATTTGTTCTCTGTGGTGCTTGGGTTGACCACTGCAGAACCATTAAATGATGAAAACACAAGTCTCTTTAGCTTGCTAATTTAATTTTATGAAAAGAGCCTATGTTTCTGTCTCTGATTTATCTCTGAAATATAGCTATGCATTAAAATTAGGCTGCACAGAAAATGAATTTTGGAGTATTATCTTCTGTCATATTCTTAGTAGATTTTCTAGTTACTCAGACAAATTAGCAAGGTTCTACTGTAATACAAAATCTGTTGCAAGAAAATTTAGTAGGAATGTGCGGTTTCTTTGTTCTGAGACTTTTGATTGAATCTCAGAGGCTCAATTGTATGTATTCGTGCACTTTAAAAAGCATATTCGAGCTTGTTGTCTTTGTCATCTTCTTGACCAAATATTTTTTCTTTCCAGACTTAATTACCTGTTCAGACAATGCAAGTCACTTTTCCGAACCGGAATTCAAGTAAGACTGATTTTTACCTGTTTACCTCCCAGTCTCTTTAATGAAGTTATTTTAGTGTTTCTACTTTACTTTGTTACATGTATCTGATGCAACTTGAAAATTTGCCATGCAGAGAACTTGAGACACAAACTATTTAGGCTTAGAGATGAAGAATTTTGACATTTCCACTCCTGCTTCCTCCTCCTGTTTCTCCCATTTGTGTTATTTACATGCAGTATACAGTAGAACCTCGTTAATTTGCACTAACACATAGGAGCTAATATCTCATTTCCACAGAAAGAATATTGCTTTTATAAATAAGTTATAGCAGGTACACAACTTAATTATTTAAATTTGTATTACAGTTACCTAAGGAGCACTAAATGATGAAATGTATTAGAAATTACAAACCCATTTCACAGTTTGGTGCTCATTAATGAGGTTATGTGGAGACATAGAATGCTGCACATTCTGAAGGAAAAAAATGTGTCATTTCCCTGTTGTCTCCTTCCCCATTTCCATCTAAAGCGAGGGCAATGTTTAAAGCTGCAGACTATTGTGAAGTGTCTAAGCTTACTCTTTGGAGAACTTAAGACCTGGCAACATGAAACCTTTCAAATTACTTTTTTTGCATTTTCCTTCATTTTCCCAGGTTCCAAAATAGGGCTCTATCTAGGTTCTGTCCTTAGTCCACATGTGACAAAGTCTCTGAATCCCCATTTTCATGGAACCTACAGAGTGGCTTCAGCTGTTGCTGAACTGTGGTGAAAATGTTGATGAGTTTACTCTACTTTGCTTTTAGATCTTGAAGATGTGATAATTTTCATGTGTGAAGTATTCAATGGCCCTGGAACATTAGCACAGGCTTGCTCCAGAGGTGCTGGTGTCTTACCTCTTGCTTTTTATGAGCTAGTAGTAATTTGGCCAGTTTTTTATGATCAAAGCATTGCCAAAAGCTGTTACAAAATAGCATTGCTTTTCAGATGTTTTATTTAAGGGTGGAAAACAAATAGATATGCAGGTCTCTAGGTCATAAAATAAAAGTCATTAATATTGTTACTTATATGACTTTGAATTTACAGTAGCCATTGGTATTCATATTATAAAATGCTGGCTTTATTAGTTCATCATATTGAGACTGGAAGTGTGCTTTCAGCTGAGACTTATTTTAAAACATTTTTAAATACCTGTTCTCCTGTTGTGTACTTGTGAGTATTTTTGATCTGATTTTATAGGTCTTCAGTTAGGAGGTATTCTTACATAGTGATACATGAATTAGCAGTATTGTAAATCAAAAACATAACTTTTTTATAACAGTAAGAGAGTTGTAGGTGCATGCATATCCTGATTTGATATTTCATTCTCTTTCAGTAAGTATTGTCCAGCTGGATGTGTGATTCCTTTTGCTGATATTTCAGGCACTATCCCTCATGGATACAGAGATGTAAGTAAAAATACAATGGCCTCCCATGAATTTTGGTAAAATGCATGATGGATGATACAAGTCAGTTGTAGTTGTTGACGTTAGTTGTGCTTTCTGGATGCTGGGACTTGTACCTCCCAACTAAATGAATAACATGGCACTCATTTTTTAGCACTGGTGCTAAATGACAGGTGCTTCAGATGTTGCCATCCCCAAGAAATGGAATAGTGTATTGGAGTCTTGAATACTTTTGTAAGTCCTGCAGAGAAGGGTGGATCAGTCAAAAGAGAGAGGTTTTTTCCACTTCCTGTTTTCTTTTTGTTGGTTTTCTCAGGCTGGGAAATTGAGATTTATAAAGAAAGAACCAATTATTTTAATGATGTCCTCTTGGTTTTGACACTGTAATGCCTCTTTCAGCAGTGTCTTAGTAGTTATCCTAATTTTTATTACACTTGAGAGGTGAAATACTGTTTATGCTCGGAAGCTATAAAATAACTTGCAAAACAAAGTTAATACTGTAACAGTAGTTCTATAAATTGGTAATGAGCATCTTTAGTAATGTACTGTTTACTTAAAACACTGCAAAACCCTTTATAGTATTTTTCCAATGTAAGTCTTTGCAGGTCAGTTAATGAACTTGCCATAGACTGAGAGGATATTTGCTTTATTTTTAAGTGGTTATAATTTTGCTAGCAGTGTTAAAAATTACATGAAATCTCTGGTTTTTATCTTAAAATAGTCTTTTAATAAGCCCTTAGATCTAGCACAGAGGTAACACAATGTAAAATGTTAGCAATCAAAGATTTTAGTATTAAATACAAACTTAATATGTGCCTGGGTTTTTTCCCAAATATTTGTAAATCCCAGGTTACTTGGATAAACAATCATCCCCAGGGAAAAATATCCCCACAATGTGTAACTGTGTTGCGTGTTCTGGTCCACAGTGAGTCCTCACTAAATGGCTGCAAGGTAATTTTTTTAGGTAGTAACAAGATGAAATTGATTCTCTGCCTCACAAATTAGCAACATCTGTAGGAGTTCTGCTGGTTGAGAGTTTTTCACCAAAATCTGGAATAATTGTTTTCTGTGGAGGAAAAGAAAACCTTTTCCTAAGGAAACTTAAGGAAATAAATGCCCAGTGACTTTCTTTTTGTATAGTTTATTGCTCAAAAACGGCAGAGAATTTCCCAGAAGTCAGGCTATGTGGAAAGAAATTAAATTGTCCAGCACTTTAGACCAATTTTCAGGTTGAGGTTTCTCATGCATCTCTTTCAAATGTACACGAACTGTTTGCTGCTTTAAAAATACCCAAAATCTTGATTCGGGTCTGTGTGACCCTAATATTCAGAGTCCATGAGGGCTCGGAAGGTTTGGAGCTCTCACTGCTGACATCTGGTGAGCAGGGAGGAGAGAGCTGCATCTCCTACAGCATCCCATGCTCTTACTTTAATGGAAAGGGGAGCTGTGTTGATCCCAGAGCTGCTGGAAGTGAGTGTGCTCTGTGCCAGCCTGACGGACTTGGTGTGATGAGTGCTGCTCACTGTGGCACCTGTAGCCTGCAAGCCAGGGAAATGTCATTGTAACATTTGTTAGTAGAATCTGTCATCCAAGGAGAGAAGGCAAGAACATGCATAAACATTTTTTATTACTGATCTCCACTGACTTGTACAACATAGGTAGTTGACTTGTTTAGGATGAGTTGTATGCATGTATCACTGTGGCTTTATGTGAATCAGAGTGCTGGATGGTTAAACCATATTTAACCACAAGTTATGATAAAAAGTACAACCCCTTGGCTAAAAGCTACAAGATCTGCAGTGCATCACCCCTTAATTGAGAAAATAAACAAGCATACTTTCAATGTGCTTTCTATTAAAAGGTTTTCTATGATTTACATCTTCTGTTGTCTAATATAATTTATTATAGGCTGAGTCTGGCTGTCTGGCTTTTCCAGACTGATTCACCTTGGTGTTGGTTTGAGGTTATTTAATTACAGCAGTTATATTCTAAATACATCTGGGTGAGGACGCAGTGAAATGTAGGGTCTTCTTTTGTTTTATAAATTCAATAATAAATAAAGATGAACGGTTTCTAAATAACCAAGATAACCGTTAACTAAGAATAGTATTTTAATGTAGTTTTAACAAAGACTGTAACTAGACAGTGTAGCATTTACAATATGTGGTGTTTAATTTATTCACTTAATAGTATGCAATTTTTCTTTCACTCTTTTCTTCAAGTCATCATCACTTTGTATGGCTGGCGTTCACGCAGGCGTCGTGTCAAATACGCTGGGTGGTCAAATTAATGTTGTAATCAGCAAGGGTATTCCATACTATGAAAGCTCCTTGGCTAACAATGTCACTTCAAAAGTGTAAGTGTATTTCCTATAATTTCCTTAGTTCTAGCACCTTAGGTCTTGGTAGTGACTCAGTGTGGGATTAATATCAGCTCATGGAGCTGTACATTCTCTGGACAGGTTCTCTTCTCTACTATTGCTGTAGTGTAACTGTTTTACCAAATATCTTTAATCTCTAGACCAAAAGTTTTCATTTTCCAAATTCTGCAAGGAATTTTTTCCTTCTTGGCCATACATTCCTACTGGTCTGTAGAAAAACAGTAATTTAATGGCTGCTTTTCAGTTTCCCACAAATGAAAGCAATCACAGGAGACTAACTTGTGTTACTACAATTAGCTTAATTTTAAAAGAAAGCATCTTAATGAAGTCTTGCAATTTGCTGGGTAGATGTTTGTATGAAAGTCTTTCACCCAGTATCTTGATTTCATTTGAGAAGGTGTTTGTAGTGAAAGGGCTGCAACTTGCTGGCAGGATGTGTTAATCATTAAGTGCCTGTTCAGACATATGTAAAGAATGGCAGGCAGTCAGACAAGAAAAATAAATTGAAGATGGTTTGTTTCAATTTTTCTCACTGGGTACTGCAAAACGTCATCTTTTGTTCTCTGCAGGGGACCCTTATCTACAAGTCTCTTCACCTTTAAGACGAGTGGTAAGTGCTGTCACATGTATTACATGTTACTGCTTTCATACAAACTTTGTGACTAGAAATAAGTGTGCAGGTACTTGATTTCTTAATTTTTGTCCTCATTTGTGAGACCGTTTTTCAGTGCATTCCTCAATAATGTATATTTTTGAATTGTTTTACTCTCTCAATTTGATGATTAATCATCACTGATGTTTCAAGTAAGCCTTGCTTATCTGCAGAAAGAGATTCTTTCAGGCTCATTAAATGAATTAGCTGTAGTTTTCTAAGTGGAGTCTAGTTTTTCTGTAAGTCACTTTAAATACCACCTTTGAGTGGATGTTGGAAATCATGTGAAGACAGTGGCCTTTCCTTAGTATCAGTATCTTTAACTGTTTTAATAACAATATAAAAACCATAAAACCATCATGTCTGTTTTTCATAAAGTTAAAAAAAGAAAGGGGGAGGAATCATGCGCCTACTTCTCAAAGGTAAACAAATACCTCTCCTAATAAATAAAAGGCAGAGTGAATGGGGATACAAAGACAGGAATCTGATGGGCAGGAGTGTTTAGTGATGGAAATGTATAAATAATCAAAAATTAGAAAATACAGTGCACATAATATTAAAATTATTTCTCTCTCAGATATCTGCAAGAGCTGAGAGAAGGAATTACATGTCTAGTGTCCTTATGCATAGAGAATATTAAACACAGTGATCCAGGCAGGGTTTGATAGGGTTTTTTTGTCTTTCAGAATGTGATCTGGTAGTGTGTATGAAAGTAATTAAATGGCCTGGAAATTGGAAGAGATAGGACAAAATGCTGATCTAGACCTTGTGGATTTCAGTGACACATGAGAAATTATTGAATAAGATAGGTCTAGATTAAAATGTCTATAGTTGGGTTGCCTAGGAGTTAGGTGAAGAAAAAAAATCTGTGTTATGCTCAAATGAGATTTATCAGGCTCTGGTGAAGGCCCTAGTGTGTTCCTGCTGTTGTAATTGGTTTCATGACTTGGTATGAAATAGAGGAGTGTATTATTAATGCTAGAGGCGTGGTCAGTGCAGAGGAAGATGAGACTACTTGTACAGGAAGAACTGCCTGAGTTTGAGACTTGATAGAAAATACCTGAAGCATCACAGAGCAGAGAGTGGAAAGTAGCAGGTATTTGGAGACTGAGGCATTTCTGCTTCAAAGTGGCAGCATGTTAGATGGAAAATGACAAATGAGGGAAAGGATTCCCTTAGTGAAGTGATCCTGTGCTGTGGCATACGTCCAGCAGAGGCAATAAACTATTAATGCCATCTCACAGGACATGGTCAAGACTTTCTCTGGGATCCAGTTACATGTGGCTCTGCCACCCGTGCCTCCCTTGAGGGATGAGGGGGTGCAGAGGTGGGCTGCAGGGAGAGGGGGAGTTCACAGGAGAAGGGAAACTAGGCTGGGTTGTTCAGCCTCCCTGACTGAAGGCAAAGATTGCTCTCTGCTGATGCTTCTGGAAACTATGTATGTGAGAGGGGAAAACTGTTGATATTACAGAGCAAGAAATTTAGCCCTGAGTTTGGGAGATGTTTTTCAGCCACCAGCAGAAGGCAACATGGGAAGAAACTTAGTAAGAATGGTGACTAGAAAAATGTAACTAATTTCAAGGATGTGTTTGAGCTCAAGGTCAGGGTTATGGCATGTCTTCTTACATGCTTTGGTTTTATTTAAATTAGCAGTGTGATACTAGGGTTGATTCAAAAACCCACGAAGTTAGACAGACACAAAAAAGGAACAAATGAACCAGCAATCTGCTTCCCATTCCTGCATCAACCGTAGATACTCTTAGACCGTTAAGGTTCCCTTGTACTTCTCCTTGAGTGCTCTGTATGAGTGGTGACTGAAAGAATATCCACATTACTCTTGGAATAGGCACAAATCATGGCATGCTTGTGACCAGTTTGGTTCTAGCATCCCTGTTAGAAAGCAGTGTGCTTTGTTGGTGTTGTTGTTACGGAATAAATTTAGATAACAGTTTAATATTTGCATGTGAAGTCTTAAAATTCAAGCAGTGTAACTTCAGTTTGCATTTTCAATCCTCACCTTTTCTGTTGTTCAGGTTGCTATGGGACACTGGGGATGGAATCTGGGGTGATTCCTGATTCCCACATCACATCATCATCTGTTCTTGAGTGGCATAACCAAACAGGACAAGTAAACATTTGGAAACCTGAAAATGCCAGACTGAAAAGGATTGGACCTCCTTGGGCTGCTTTTATCAGTGATGAACATCAGTGGTTGCAGATTGACTTGAATAAGGAAAAGAAAATAACAGGTAGGTGAATCTGATGTGGCTTCTCAGCAGCATTTAAAATTTTTGGTTACTGACATCATTTTTTCCAGGGCTGTGCCTTAGATAAAGCTCAAGTGGTGCTTAATTACCATTACACTTAATTTGCTTCCATGTCCTAGCTAATACACTGAGGAGCCTGGAACTGAAGTGGTGTGGTTTCGTAGTAGAAGACACCTCTTCCATCAGAATTTTTTGAAGTGTTTCCTGTGGTTTTATTGGATCCTTGATGCTTCCCTTTTTTTGCTCATTGTCTCCTTGGAGGTGCAGATGAAAATCCAGTCAGCTCAGCCCACTGTACCTCTGACGCAGGTGTACTGACTTGTGTTCCTGGGTTTTCCCTAGTGCCCATCATGGCCACGGTGAATCCAACAGCAAGGAAAGGAGCATTTCCAGTGCAGTGTGAGGAATCAGCAGACACAGGAGAACAGTTGGCAGCCTCCTTGCCTCAAGTGGGGCTTGTGCCCACGGTCTCTGCGGAGCCTTACTTCAGCAAGCAGGCGAAGCAGCGTGAGCTTAGCCAGCCAGGCTTTGGGTTTGGCCCTGCTCCTTCACACAGTGGGTGATTTTGGCAGCTGTGTTGATTTGGAGACACAGCTGGAGGTGCTGTTTCCCAGGCTGCTCTGGATGGTTTGCTTTCTGTTCCGAGTTGAGCAGACAGCTCATGGTTACCAATTCCCATTGACAGCGAAGCACTGAGGCATTGGCATGTTGGGTTTAATCTCCAGGGTAGCTGTGCAGCTGGTGTACCTTCAGCGCCAGTGTTAGTGTTTTCTGATTTAATCATTCAGAGGAGATTTGCAGTTGTTAATGGGCATGTTTGTCAGCTGATGTAAATCAAAATTAAATTGGATTCAGGTGGAGTGCTTCATAGAGTCTGGGGCTTTAAGGCTATTGTGAAACATGTTCTGGTGATCAGTTTGTGTTTGTCTCTTTCCAAATTGCCTGAGGTGGTCTCTGTAACAGCTGCACACCCTGCTATCAGCAGCATGGCTTGCTGTCATTAAGCAACTTAGATTTACCAGTGGCTTTTGTTATTACCTCCCTGGGGATTGTTTGGATTTTGCATTACTCCTGTAATTCCTGTGCTAATAAGCTTTTCCAAAACAGCTTTCCTGTGTGAGTTGTGCTGCGGAGTGAGCTGTAGGAAGCTGCAGTTCTTTCAATGATTCTTTAGGTTGGCAGTAGAAGAGCAGGGAAGAGCTGTGTCAGCAGCTGAGGAGTGGGCTGTGGTCAAACGAAAGGGCTATTTCCATCAAGAAACAGGGGGGAAAGGGCTTAGCAAGGTTATTTTGTGAAAATTAAAATACAAAGTAAGTAAAACGAGTTTACTAAGTTTCAGTCACTGTGGAAGTTTCAGACCCTGGCATTTTGGATAAACTTCATGAAGTTAACTTGACCAGTGAAGACTCTTCACTATGTAGCTCTGGGTACAAAAACTGATCTGTTAATTTTTTGCAAAGTGGCACCAGTTTTTTTTTCCTAACTAGGCACCTCAATTTTCACAGGTATTATAACTACTGGATCAACTTTAGCAGAGCACTACTATTATGTCTCAGCCTACAGAATTTTATACAGTGATGATGCACAGAAGTGGACAGTGTACAGAGAACCTGGCATGGGTAAAGATAAGGTAAAAATAGCACGTACTTTCTAGGTATGTTCTATGGAGATTCCACAACTGTAAGTACAAATCATTTTGGTATGGTGAGGAATAATTAAATAACTTTAATTTTCAGTGTTATTTTGAATCGTAAACAGCAGATAAGCAGAAGAAAATATGACAATATGCAAATATGTAATGATTTGAACAGTTCTAAAATTCAGACGTTATTTTTATTACTATTTGAATGTGGGAGTATTCTGTACAAGAAACTTCCGTTGCCAGTGGTAGGCTCTCTGGTACTGCAGCTCTTCAAGAATCATTCTATTTCTTTTTAAATAGGTTATATGTTTAAAATTAAGCTTTACTTTCTTATCCTCTTGTTACAGAATAAATGTTACAGGTTCTATAATTTCTCATGTTTTCTAATGTTTGTCCGTCTTAATTTTTAGCGAAATACTGTTAAGTTTCGAGGGGGTATGTTCAGATTGCAAATATTTTACCACACAGAAAAAGTCCCTAATGTTAGCAGTAAGGCAATCTTATTTCTTCCATGTTTACAGCTCTGCAGTATTTAATAGACAGTAAAAATGAGAAAATCCATGTCTTCCCAGTGGTTCAGATCGGATTCTCTTAAAGAAATGACAGGATTCTTAGTAATGTGACTGGAACTACATTTTCCTTCTTTTTCTTAAAATCCTTGGATGTAATTTGCCTTAGTTCTGTAGGCCTGTGGTATTATGTACATGTAACTGTAACTACTAGTCTGGTAGTTTTTTAGAAACAGGCTTTAAATATGGTCACTTTGGCTGTCCTTGGTCTTCTCTTTACTCTGGATTAAGAACGTTTCAAGGTAGGATGTAGAATTCTATTGATGAAGTAAAAGGCTGAAGTTTGTTAAATTAAGAGATTTTTGAACACTGGACGTAATTGCAGTAGAAAGGTCTTGAAAGAGAGGAGGAGAATTTACTGTCAGGTCTGAGCCTACATGTGAATTAACGTGACTGTTGGCGTGAAGTATTCAAGAAAAAAGAAAAAAAACCAGCATATTTTGCTAGTTTTGAGTGCCCTCTTCTGGCCATAAAATAAGACCTCAGTTAGCAAGCTGCCTAGATTTAGACTTCAGTGTTAGTTTGATAATTTTCTTTAAAAACCTTTGCAGCTATTGCCTTGAATTTGAGCAAATTGTTCCACTTGCATGCTCATGAAATGAAACAAATTGTGGAGCCTGAAATTACAGGCAACAGATCTTTCTTTGCACTCTGTGTGTCATTAAGGGACAGGGCATGAAGAATCATGTGTACCCAGGAAATGGCAGCTGTAGTTAAATGACAGAAAAAAATGGTTCAGTTTGGTTCAAAATAGCAATTTTCTCTCTATCTGCCATCATCTCACTTGATACAGATCTGCTTTTGGATGCATCTGCTTTCAGGCTTCTCCATTTTAGCATGCCAGACCAGCCGGGAGGTGCTGTTTTTTTGAAACATGTTTGGAATTCCTAACGTTTTTCAGGAGACTAGAAGCTTGTCCAAGATTTTTCTCTAGTCCTTTTTGCATACCTTTTAGAGATTTGGCAGTCCTCAAGACAAACTTTTCTTAACTTTGCGTGGATGAAAAAAAGAGTGAATGCTTGAATTAGGGAAAAAGGATAAATCAGAGTTGTAGTGTGCAAAAGCTTTGTTTAACAGCACAGAGAGAAATGGGAAGAGTTTGATAATAAAAAGAACGTGAAAATAATTTCTCATTAAAAAATTTATACTTCATTGAGCTCAGAAGCAAATTATTTTTTAATGCAGAAATTAGGGTAACAAAAATACAGAGCCGCAGGTAAAGTCACTTCTGTAACACTAGACAATAAAAACTTGACTGATAAAAGCTTGGAGTAAAGATCTTTACTGTTAGTCTTTCTTGAAGGTAAGAATTGGCATTGATTCTTTTTGCCCTTGCTGTTGCATGATCAGAAACCTCAGCCTCAGAAACCTGACATGAAATTCAACTTTAAGAGTTGGACATCTGTGTCCCTAATCTGTAACCTCTGCATGTGTTGCTTGGGCAGCCAGATGTGCATTCTTTTGGTGATGGGTCTGGCAGGCACAGCATGAGCAGAGATACAGCTACAGCAATTTGGGCTGGGTGCATCCCATCAGGAAGTCACCTCTGTATTTTGCTTCTCACTTGCATCCTTACCAAAACAAAAAATTCTTTTGCGAGATCTGTAGCTACAAGCTGGAACACAGTCTGTTGTGGGCACATGAAGTTGAACTACTTGGTGTTATTCATTCATTTCCAAAATAACGTCATAGGCTTGCCCCTGCATTTACTCTGTCTTCATTTATTGCTACTCAATATTATTGTAGAACAAGAAGCTTAAATTCAGAGCAGGGACTTTTTTTGAATGGATAGTTTCCTAGAATAATTATTTCAGACCTCTAGGGATATTCTAGACATTTTGTTTAAAACCTCAGCAGTGCAATATGGAAATCTCTTCTCTTGTGTATCAAGATTGAAAGAGCAGTGATTTGTATTGATCAGAGATGTGCTAAAAGCTCTTGACTGCTCTGTGTTGCACAGACACATCAGCTGTAACACAGTGTTTGTCTTTAGGAATGGCAGGGTGCTTTATTGGTTACCAAGTGGTGTGAGTGAGAAGAAAAGTCCTTGTCATATTGACTTTTTTTTTCAGACAAGTGCCGTAATTCTGTTCTACATTGTGTCCACCATGATTTGCAGTGTCTGTATCAGTGCTTTCAAGAGAAAGAACTCATTTACTGTCGTCCCAGTGCACAACAGAGTTGCATCTGCAAGGCCAAAACCCCACTGCTGTGCAATAACATGGAGAGGCAGCTCACTTCCTACCAAAAGACACGGTGCCAGACTAGTTCTCCTGAAAGAGAGGGGAGGGTTGGAGTACTGGGCCAAGCTGCTGCATTGTTTTAAGCAGCTCGGGGATGAAAAACCCATGGCTGGCTGTAAATCTGTCAGTGTGCTTACATTGCATCTCACAGGGACTCCTCTCACTGCTTTTAAACTTCACCCGGACTCATTGTGTATTGTCACATTTTGATGAGTTCTTTGTGTGCAAGGATGGCAGTGAAGGACCAGCTTGAACTCATCCTTCATGCAAAGTCTGCGCCTTTCTCCTGGAGAACCTCATGGCTCAGTGTGAGACTGAGGAGAGCTTTCACATTCAGAACCCGAATTCTTTTATTTTGTTGTGGCTCAGTGCTTGTAGGCAGCAGCCACGAGAGGACAGTGTGGTTACACACTTGAGGGTGCCTCCCAATGCTTTCTAATGAATACCATCCTCAGACAGGCTGTGCTGAACCTCTGGGCTGTGTGAAGGCACCACTTAATTCCTGCTTGTGCAGTGTCACAACTCCTTACTATCCACGGATATTTCAAGAGTAAGTGCAAAATATCAAGAAGGAGCAAGTTAGAATGACTCAGTGCCATAAACATGTGAGATGTGTGTAACATCAGGCACTGCCTGGGGGGCATCAGTAGGATATTCCATGGTACCTTTACTGTGAACTGTGAAGGTGTGTGCATACATGTACACAAACCTTTCTTTGTTTTATTCAGCTGTAAATGTAATGGGGCCAAGGGAGTGGACAAGTGCAGGCAGCAGCGCCATTCTGGGGTGAATTGGATCTTTCACTGTTTATTCTTCCTAAATAAAATATCAACATTGGTAGTACTTACTTAATTGCTATTGTATTTGTAGAACATAATGTTTCTCTCTTTTTTTCCCTTCTTTTCTAGATATTTCAAGGGAATACTGAATTGTACCAGGAAGTTCGCAATAATTTCATTCCACCTATTATTGCACGGTTTTTTAGGATTAACCCCTTAAAATGGCACCAGAAAATTGCAATGAAAGTAGAGTTGCTAGGATGTCAGTTTAGTATAGGTAAGACAACTGAAAATTTTAACTGTGCTAGACAAGAAGTGAAACTATTAAGGTTGTAAGTGAAATTACTGTGGTTAGAAGTTATGTCATGGGTATATTTTCAATGAGTCTGAAGTGCTTCTTGGCTGCATAATCCTTCTTTAACTGGTACTTTTGAGTTTATCCGAAAGTTACTACACTTAACCAGAAAAACACTGAATTTAGGTGTACACAAGATAATTTACAAAATAAGTGTGTCAAAAAATGCCAATCACTTGATTTCCATGTCATTGATTCGCGGGGGGGAGGGGGGGTGGTCCTCATATAACAAGAACAAAAGCTTTATAGCAAACTGTTCCAGCTGTCTTCTCCTGAAAAGGAGATATGGAAAACTAGCACTTCAAAGAACTTATCTTATAAATTCTTTTCTTCTGAAGGTCGTGCTCCTAAAATCACCTTGCCACCATCACCACCTCAGAACAAGAATGACAAGAAGAATCCTGACTTCATGGATGACTTCATTCATTCAATGAAGACTTCACTGCAGACAGATAAAATAACTTTCACACCTGAAATAAAAAACACTACAGTGACTCCAAGTGTAACCAAAGGTATCCACTGTCAAATAGTAGAAATGTTTGGAACTCCTTATAGTGCTTTGACATATATTAAGTGTGCTTTCTGCAGTGAAATTTTCTCAAAACTTAACAAATTACAGCAGATGATCAGTATTTTATTTCTCATATTTGCCAGTTATTGAATACACACATTATAAAAGATGTGCAGTTGCATACTGCATGCAGAAACAAAATCATCTGCCAAGTAATATGTATAATGTAAATGTATATACAGTTTCTATTTTATAGGTATATAATAGTTCCATCTTCCAGAACTTGTTCAAAGTGAGTTCAGCTTTTAATCATTGAACACATTTTGTAAGAAGAAGTTGTAACTTGGACTTCCCTTCTGAATTAATCAGGTGTAGCTGCTTTATTTAATAATTTCTTAGATCAAAACACCTTTGATCTAGCAAATCTTTTCTGGAGAAGTCTTTTTGACATGAAATTTGAAAAACTTTACCTGGCATAATAATTTTGTTTATCAAAGAAAATGGTCAGGAAAGGGAGCAAAGTCACTGCCGATATGGGCACTGCTGAAGTGTCCTTTGGATGACAGGGGACAGGATCACACACAGACCCAGCACAGACTGATTGGGATTAACTATTAAGGTACTGTGGAATTTGCTTTTTAAAGGAGGTTCAAACTTACATGGGACTAAGAGATTTTCTGCATAAATAATAGAATATATTGTTGTAACAGGAAAACCATATATTAAAACAAACTGGTCGTTTTTGATGAAAAACCCTGCAAAACCACAAGTTGTGCATTCATGTAGAAGAGCCAGATGTTAATTGAAGTTTGCACTGTGGGAGCATCCAGCAGAGTAGCTTAGCTGGTGGGGGATGTGGTGTGATAGACACTAAACGTGAAAACTGTGTGCTTTACCTAAGTAATTTTCAAATAAAAAACTGATTTATGAGAAGCTCTTTCTGTCTGACACCACTTAATTTAATGGCTTTCAGATGTGGCATTGGCAGCAGTTCTGGTTCCAGTGCTGGTGATGGTCTTCACTACTCTGATTCTTATCTTAGTTTGTGCGTGGCATTGGAGAAACCGGTAAATGCATAAATGCATAGCTGTTTGAAAGTGCTTTAAATGAATGTTAGCCTGGTGTGTGGGAATGAAATGCTGCATGTATTGCTGTGGGAACTCTGTGGTCTGCCCTTGTGGAAAGAATTGCATTCTTTCTGAGAAAAAAATTCACTTGACTAACGAGGACAAAACAGCTTTTTGTAACTGTTTCCTTTGGAAGTGCTTTGACTAAAAACTGGTTTCTCTGGTAGCAGCAGACTGGTGATGGCAAGCCAGGTTATTGGTGCTTACACATTAAATTTGAGGACCAGTTACAGACAAGGTGATAATTGCTGACCATTAATTAATGCATCTTTTGATAAGCTGACTAGTTAAAATAACCCTTTTTTTTTTTTTTCCCAGCAGGAAAAAAACTGAGGGTACATATGATCTACCTTACTGGGATCGTGCAGGTAACAGAACGGTTTTATGAAACCATTTACTCAGTGTTTTTTGTTCAATGTGTATTTCAGATTGCAGTAACAGTTTCCACTAGCAGAAGCTTCTCTGATGCTAACTGAGGGAGGCATAGCAAACACTGAATTTCTTTTCTGGACAAATTTAACTGCACTGCTTCTTTCTCTGATTTCTTTTTTTCAGAATTAGAAAAGTCATGTCTCCTGTTAGAGCTGACCACTTCAGGGTTTTTTTTTGGTGAACAGAATAGAAAACCTCTTAATTATATAACATGAAGGGAAAAAATAATTTACAAGAAATGCCTTTATACATTTGATAACCATTTCTTTGGTACTTTTTTGTCCTGGAAAAAAAAATCTTTCATTTTAGTGATAAGTTCTATCAAAAATTTTGTCTTCATTGCCCTAGTAAGCGTGTGGGATTTAGGTATATCTTCCATCTTATTGTCTTGTGCCTCATAAACGTAGGATCAGACAATTGCACCAAGAAGCCCTTTGCAATGGTCCTGAAACCACCTGTGCCCCAGGTGCAAAGGGCAGCTGCAGCAGTTGGGTTGGTACTGCTGTGTGACTGTGCTTCCCTTCTCTGGCCTCCTGTTGAAAACTTGCACACCTGTGTGTCTGCTCACTGGCAGTCTTTATGTCTTACCCTTTAGACAAGGAAGCTTCTAATCACTTCTGATTGCTGCATGTCTATTTCTGATAGATCACAGCTCTGATGTCTTAGGGTATTACTCAAAATAGTGATAATTGAGTTGTTTACCTCCTTCAACAAAATACAAGCTGTGCTGACAAATATTTTAGTAGCTTAAAACACAGTATAAAAACAATCTTGGGTGGTTTTTTGTTGTTTTGGTTTTTAATCCATGTGAAGGATGGTGGAAAGGGATGAAGCAGTTTTTCCCGACCAAATCAGCAGAACATGAAGAAACTCCTGTACGCTACAGCAACAGTGAAATCAGTCACCTAAGACCAAGAGAAGTCTCAACAATGTTGCAAACAGAGTCTGCAGGTACTTTGTAGGCCATGTTTTACATATATATGACATGCCAAAAAAGTCAGGAATCTGGCTACATTTAGTGACTTCCCGGTTTGGGGGGGAACAGAGGAGAAATGAATAGTTTTGTTTGTCTTAAGATGCTTTTTCATGTCTCTCATTTTGTGTGCTATAGATAGACACTTGACCCTGTTAATGCAGTAACTGAAAGGTTCTTCACTTGTTTTTAAACCTCATAAAGGGTTAAAGAATTCTTCTGATTATATTGTCATGCACTGGAAATAATTTCATTGCAATATTTTTATGCACAAATCTGAAATGTGGCACTTAATTCTCTGCCCGCATGATATGGGTTAAATCATACTTGTGATCTGGAAAAGGAGGGTGTATGGATGGTGGCACATGTCCTTTCCCTGGTGACCCAGGCATGGGAGGAGGATGACTGACTGCCTTTGGTTCTGCTGATGGCAGAATTGGGCAGATGGGCAGGAATTGCAGCTTCACTGCAGGCAGAATTTCTCCTTTTGGCTACTTGCCTGTTTTTACTCAGCTACTCAGGCTTTTCACCTCCAGCTTTTGTAACTCAGATTATCTGTTGAGCTAAAACTTCTCAGACTACATGCAGGCTTCCCCCCTCAAAGGACAAACCTGCCAGCCCAAGGACCACTTTTTATCCAGACCCAGGAAGAATAATTTTATTTAAATCTAATTTAAAGAGAAGAACATTTCAGTAAGCTTCATTTTCAGGCGGATTTGCAGCTTGGGAAGTTGCAGCTCACCTGAGAAATAGAAACCTGAGAAGTGGGGATGTTTTGACTATCCCAACCACTTTACCTATTGGGTGGAAAGGAATCCTTCTCCAAAGCAATTGGCACTGCTGGACAGAGAGGGACCACTGGATTGATGTAGGATAGTGATCTCTGGGAGACTACTGACAGGTTGTATGTACTGTGATGCCACTGTAAAACAATCCATTAAGTGTATTTATGTTTTGTTTTGTTGGCGCTTGCAACACAGAATATGCTCAGCCCCTGGTGGGGGGAATTGTGGGCACGCTTCACCAGAGGTCAACCTTCAAACCAGAGGAAGGAAAGGAAGCCAGCTACGCTGACTTGGACCCTTACAGTTCCCCCATGCAAGAAGTTTACCACGCCTATGCCGAGCCACTGCCTGTAACTGGACCTGAGTACGCGACTCCGATAATCATGGACATGTCCAGCCATCCCAGTGCCCCTCTTGGTGCTCCTTCCATTTCCACCTTCAAAGCTGCAGGGAATCAAGCTCCTCCACTGGTTGGAACGTGCAATAAACTGTTATCCAGGACAGACAGTGCATCCTCAGCACAGGCACTGTACGATATACCAAAGGGGCAGTCGGGGCCAGGCAGTGCAGACCAACTCATGTACCAGGTGCCGCAAAGCACTGTGAGTAAGGATGAACAAAGTTAGCTCATGAGTCAAGGTAAAATGATGGCTTGTTTCTAAAAGCCAGTTCCATAAAGTTCACAGTTTCACTTTTTAAATTCCATTGTTTTGGTATTGTTAGTCTTAAATAATACAACATTGAACCAACAGATGTGGTATGGGAGGTCTGGGAAAACAGTAATTCTGCTTTTCCTTAAGCTGTATATACAATTAACAGCTTGTCTCCTGCAAAACCGTGGACTTTTTTATTACTACTGTACAATTGTCTGCCAGACATGAGAGAAGAACTCTTCATGATTAGCTCCAGTAATTCATAGATGTGAGTGATAAATTGGGAGAAACAGTTTAAGTGCAAAAGCCAGTTATTTCTTCCTAATGGTACTATTTCTTGGGGAAAAAAGCCTCACCTCAATACACAAAGCTCTTAATTTCTGTGCAAGCACAACAGCTTCTAAAATTTCCTCTTTTCCTTGTAAAATGTCTGCACAACTTTCAACTTAACAAGCTACTGTCAGGACTGATGGAAAAAATCCCTTTAGCTTCATGGCATAAAATAGTTTTGATTCTGAATTCCATTATTTCAGCTTTTGTTAACAGAATTGTGTGTTCCTCAAAAGGTTCCTGCCTTTTTGGTTAGGTTAGCCTTCCAAAACTAGAAGCTGCTGTCTGTCCAATCGCTTTTCTGCCTCTTCTCCTTAAGCCACTCAGTCTTATTCCTTCCTAGGGATCCAGGAGGCACAGATTGACACAAGCAAACTACCTGGCAACTGCTTTTACATTTTTCCCTATGCTGTGAGGGCCTCTTGAATAGCATCTGCCTCAGACTTCTCTGACGCTCAGTGTGAGAAGCACCCAGGTCTTGGAGGTGACTTGAATTGAGAAAGGCCCTGCCCTCCTCCCGAGTGTCCATTATTCTGTGTTCAGGTGTGAGCTTATACAAAAAAAGATCTGTACATACTTTTGAGAGTGCTTAAGGAAGGACACAAATATTCTAATGGTGCACACTTTGTGTTAGACATGCATTTAGCACATCTGGTACGTTTTAGCACAACTACCAAATTTAGCCTTAGGGCTTTTTTTTATGATTGTTCTTATTAGAAGCATGAAAGATTCCAAAACCTTTGCAAAAGAACCAGTACTATTCCAAAGAGTGTCCATTTCAGATGTATTTATTGGAATTTGTATCCTTTGAATGTTCCAGTGTTCTGTACTATGAAAACATTGCAGTTGGTCATTTACTAGGATAATGTAGACTCATTTTAGCTAGGTAATCACAAAATGAAAACAGTCTGAATGGCACATTTGCCATTTTTCATCTTGTTAGAAAAAAAAGCACAGCTTTCTCACATAAGTAAGAGAAAACCCCAGTATAAATATGCTGTATTTTTATTCTAACAGCACTATTGGAAGGCTGCTGAATCAATTAGTATATGTGGGATCCCCTCCCGACACAGTAGCCCAGTTTTATGGACTCCAGGGGTTACTGTTTGTTTGTTGTGCAATTCAAAGCCTTGTTTCCTGCCCAGGTCCTTAAAGGCTGTGGACAACGTCTGAATGGAAACTGCAGTGCTGTTCAAGGGGCTGCTTCTGTGCCTTAATACCAGTGCAGTATCCTCACTTACCACTTGAAAATCTGTTTGCAGAGGGGCTGTATATAAACTCTGGAATCAAAAACTACTTGTGGCCTGTTCAGCATCTGAAGTATGATGCATAGAATCATAGAAGGGCTGGGGTTAGAAGGGACCTACTTCCAATCCCTTGCCATGGGCAGGGACACCTTCCACTAGATCAGGTTGCTCAGAGCTCCATTGAACCTGGCCTTGAACACTTCCAGGGATGGGGTATCCATAATTGCTTTGAGCAACCTGTTCCAGTGGTTCACCACCCTCATCCTTAGGTTCTAACCTATCTTCCCCTCTTTCAGTCTGTACCCATTTCCCCTGGTCCTGTCACTGCAGTTCCTTACAAGGAGTCCCTCTCTGGGACCTTTCAGATACTGGAAGGTTGCAATGAGATTTCCACACAACCTCCTCTTCTCCAGGCTGAGCAGCCCCAACCTTCCCAGCCTGTCTCCAGAGGGGACCTGCTCCCGTTCTCCTGCCAACCTCGTCGCCTCCTCTGGACTGGCTCCAACAGTTCCATGTCCTTCTTATATTGGGGGCACCAGAGCTGGATGCAGCATTCCAGGTAGGGTCTCACCTGAGCAGAGGAGCATCCCTCACCCTTCTGGCCCTGCTCCTTTTGATGCAGCCCAGGGTCCCATTGGCTTTCTGGGCTGTGAGAGCACACTGCTGGCTCATACTGAGTTTTTCATCAACCATCACCCCCCAGTCCTCCTCTGCAGGGCTGCTCTCAGTCATTTCTCTGCCTAACCTGTCTGTGAGTCTGGGATTGCCCTGACCCAGGTGTGGGACAATACCTTGTTCAACTCCACGAGGTACCAGCTCTCAGGGCTGTCCAGTCCCTCTGGATGTCATCCCTTCCCTCCAGCATGCTGACTGCACCTCACAGCTTGGTGCTATGGGTAAACTTGCTGAGGGTGTGCTCAGTCCCACTCCCCCTGTCACCAACAAAGATGCTGAACATTCTCTGTGCTACCTTAAAGCCCAGTTCTACAATTTCTGATCATTCATTCTCATTCATTGAGAATGACATTTTTTAATTATTTGTTTTAGAGCTGGATGTCTTATGCCTAAATGTGAATGTAAGGATCGTAAATAAGACCCATTTTTGAACAGCAAATTCCTGCCTATAATTGTACTTTTGATGTAACTGTAGCTTTTTCTGCCTTATAAAAATAGTCTGCAATCTATGTGGTTTTGCTTAAACAGGTAAGTAACTGTTCTTAGCTATCAGCAGCAACTATAGCTGAAACTGTCTGAGCTGATTTTATTTCAAGGGGTGGGAAGTCATTAGTTTCCACTAAGATGTGACAATACAGCTACAGCCAAGTTAAGAATCCTTTCCATTCTCAACCTGTACCAGTTTAGGCTTAGAAAAATTAACCTACTATAAAAATGAATGGATGTGTCCAAGTCAGTATAAATAAAACACCTGGATTTAATTTTTACTGCAGACCAGGAATGGTAGAACTGTGGATAGCTGAAGGCTAAGGTGGTATAAGGATTAAGCAGTTTCTCTACAGTGGGTTCTTTTTTAAACAAACATAAAGCAACTTCATTACCTGAGGAGCATGAGCTGTTAAAGAAATGGATGCTTTTAAAATTTAAGTCCCTTTTCAGATAGAATTTGGTCCCAGGCTTTGCTCCTGCTTCAGACTTTGGACATGTTATCTGCTAGGGCTAAGATACATCTGAACAGCTTGGTTTAATTGCATGACACACTAAGACTAGAATTTGCCTGTGTACAATAAAGCGAAGGTACATTTCATGGGTCTCTCTTATATGTGAAGACATGTATATAAAATGTATTTCAATCTTGTTTGGCTTGAGTATTCTCCCAGAATGTATGTTCTTACCTCAGCATGTATTGTAGTTGCTCAGTATTTGTATATGTTGCTAGACTTAGACTGTATAAATAGTGAGGGGGGTTTATATGTTAAAAAGTATTTTAAATAAATTGTACATACGTATTACTCAGTATGTTTGCAGTTAACACCTACATTGTATCTAATTCATCTGCAGTCTGGAAATGCCAGGGTTAATTTGTGGGTTACACGGGGTCATGCCCAGTCTCCAAGAGTTTCTTGGCAGCAGGTGGGCTGGTCCCTGTCCCCAGTCAGCACAACCCCTCTGCACTGATGGAGAGGCTGCTGGTTCAGTCTTCAGCTAGACCATGGCTATTGCCAGTTACTGAGTAAAGCTGATGCTGCTTGTGCTTTTTCCTCTTCTTCATGTGAATTCCAGCACTGCAATGCCTCATACAAAGAACTCAGTCAAAATTACTCTTTTATGAGTAAATGTAGTGTGAGTTCACAGTGTCTCGTTGCAAGCTGGAAGAAACTCCTGTTGCTCTACCAGGCATGGAACATCATTGGGTAAAATCCCTGTTTGGGTTTGATTATATCCTATCCTTGTTCACCTAGGGCCTGTTTATTGAACCAGGCTAATCAAACTGAATTTCTTATTTATGGCTGAATTAATTGCTAGCTACAAGCTAGCTTGTGCTGTGACACACAGCTATCACTTTTATGAAACCACAAGATCAGTAACCAAATTCTGATCTAAAAAGTGATACAAGACTTGAAACTGGTGTCAGTTTTCTGCATAGCCAGAAGTTCATACTGAGGCTCTGGTGCCTTGAAAAAGGAAAGGAAACAGTTTTTCTGCACATGTAATGACAGTATTGCATATGAACTAGATGAGACTCCTACTTATATTCATGTTTAAATGTCAGAAGATTAGAACAGCTTTTAAGTGTCCTGCCTGCAAGCTGACCTGAACTAGAGCGAGCAGACCCCCGCAACTGTATGATCAAATTACAGCACAATCAGAGTCTCTCTAAAACCAAACTCAAATAATGTTGTGATATTTCAGCTTTTTTAGCTTTGTACATGGCTTGATGCAAGACAGAGCCCAAACTGGTCAGGATGCAGCTGAAGGAGAAGGTGAATGGCTGCAGGTCAGGTTGCACACTCATACAATGCCACAATACATAAAAGTTGTTTATAGACTGTAATTTTCTAAGTGCCTGCAGATCACTTGCCTTGCTCCTGAACATGCTGCAGCTTCATAAGATTTTAGCTCTCCAAAACCAGCTTTTGGCAGCAACAGGCTCAGTGCCAGAATCCATTCTGGTCAGGAAGGCTTCTTCATTCTGGACTATGCTAGTACATGAGGCTTTCTGAAAAAAGGCAAAAACGTTGAGTTTTATTAAAAAAAAAAAGTGCTTGTATGTATAAGGAACCTGATCCCTATCTAAACCAGCAGTGATACAAAGGCATGGGTGATTAAATCAGAAGTCACAGAAATAGGTCTGTCTCAAGCCCTTCTACACCTTCCCTTTATAACCTCTCAAAAGTAAATTTAAAGATGTGGTCTGTACGGCTGTACTTTCAGTAATTGGGATTTTATTTATTCCCCTCCATCAAAAGTCACAGAATCATCCAGCTGTGAATGAGGGATAAGAAGGCATTGGATCATCCAGTACAGTCACTTGTGGTTCAGGTGAGCAGCTACCTCTCTGCTGAAAGAATAACCAAGGTTAGAATCTTGTTTCTGATAAGGAGGCACTTAAAGTATAAAAAATTTCCTCATGTCTTGCTCATCTTCTGGGAGGAGCAAGATTTGTGTTCCGCATCCTTCAGCATAATGAATACACTTAGCTAAAAAACCTAGACTGGGAGTGATTTTTTATTTGTTGAAGAAAATCTAAATCCTCTCTTGTGCATGTACAACCTCTTTGTACTCTTCCTATACTTCCTTCACTGAAGCCTGGTCACAAAGAAATACGTGCTTTTTTTTTTTCCTAAAGTGAGGAGTTTTGTCAGCTTTCTGATGACCAAAACACCTAATGCTTGCAGAGGAGAGGAAATATAATTTACTGAAACACATCCCTCTCTGAGAAGAGCTCAGCTGGCTGCACTACAGCAAATTAATCAACAGGAAGGG